ATTGTCTAAATTTAACTTCTCCAAAATTTCCTTGACCCCCTTCTGGTCAATACTCCTTATTTGCAGAGTTTCTTCCTTCTTCTTGGCTTGCTCAATTTCCGCTTCGTATGCTCTAGCGATTACAGATCTACTTCTTAGAGTTAATTCTTTCTCAGTTATATTCAATAACCTTACTGGGACTACACTGTCCTTCTTACACAAAACACGTGCCACTAGCAATCCTGACAGGGCTTCCTCACATTGTTCGATAACTATGTGCTGAGCCTTAACCCTTGAAGCTCTGCGTAGAGTTGCTTGACACACTACTTGACTCATCGGTGGTATCATCACCTCCTCTCTCAGAGTCACCAGAAAACCATCTTGGTTTCTGAATCTCACATCCTTCACTGGACCTTCATTAGAATTCCTTTCTAATGAACCCTCAAAATTCCTTCTGAATTTTTCTGGAAGTTCACTGTCCTTCCTCTCCAAAACTGGTGCTACTGGCCAGCCTGTCGAAACTTCATCACATTGTTTAATGTGTTGAGCCTTAGCCCTTGAAGTTCCGCGTAGGGTTCCATGGCACACTTCATCAATCATCGGCGGTTTAATAACCTTCTCTCCCAGAGACGCCGGAAAACCTTCATCCAACAAAATCTCGTCCCTCAACGGACCTTCATTAGAGTTTTTATCTAATGGAAACAACAAAATCTCGTCCTTCACTGGACCTTCATTAAAGTTTTTCTCTAATGGAAACAACAAAATCTCGTCCTTCACTGGACCTCTAATAACTTCCTCCTGTCGAAGTGGAATGGATCTATGGATTTCTCTGGAACTGGCCGGGTTCCTTGATGATGTCAGACTTCTCCCTTTTGAATTACCACGTTGTTGATTGGTTGTAGTTATCGAGCGGGTACCAACCGCTACCAAACTACGATCCTCCGTTATTGGTACTAACGTCAGATCCTTCTTCATAAAATCTGTCCTACTCATCATTGTGTTATCTTTTTCAGTATCTGTTCCAACTTCTGAATAATTCTTTACTTTAACACCATTTCCATTCCTCTCCAAATTTTTCACATAATTTTTCAGCTCATAAAGCTCCATTTCCAAGTTTCTAACTTTGTTCATCCACTCTTTTTCTTCTTTCTGTATCGCATACTCAGCATCAATATTTTCTTCATACATTTGGATTTGCTTCTCAAAAGCGTACATACAGTTGTTCTGCCAATCTACTTTAATACCATATTGGCGCAGAAAATCTATTCCCAATAGTAAATCTGCCCTTAACGAATCTGTATTCACCACAATAAAATTGTGTCTCACAACGATGTCTCCTTCGAACATCACAGGTATATTTGCCATACCTCTTACAGGAATATTATTGTCCTGTATATCCACCAAATTTACATTACATTGTTCCTTTTTGAACCCCTTGGCAATCTCGGGCTTAACTAGGGATACTACAGCTCCAGAATCTATTAAGGCTAGGTACGACTTATCATTAACCCTAATCCTTACTACATTACAACTTTCTGGGGTTCTCACTTTGGAGCATGTATATATCCCTACCCATTTATCTTCATTTAATCCCAACTTGCCTCGTTGGCAGCCACGTCTCGGGGTTGATAGGGGGCTGCGTGCGAGTTTAAATTCTGCCTATTTCCCGATTGCTGGGAAAAAGCGCCGACTTCCGTGCGGCAATTCTTAGCAAAATGCCCTTCCTTGTGGCATCTGAAACAAACAAGCGTACCTCTGTTACCTTGTCTGTTCACGTCCCTTAATTTCGGACAATTTGGTCTCACGTGACCTTCCTGGTTGCAATTGTAGCACACCATTTTTCTAGCTTGTGGCGTTTCTCGGTTCCAACGGTTCTGACGGCTTGGGCCTGCTGTCTTCTTTTTATTCATAATTCCGCGGCATTCGCGACTGTGTGGCTTCAGAAAATTTTCGATCGATTCTTCCCTCTCAGCTATTTCTAATGCTTCGTCCAAGGTTGCTGGATTTCCTGAGAGTACACGTTGTTTAATCGGCATCAACAATCCTAGGGTAAATTGAGTAGGAATGTCCCCGAGCAATTTCTCTTCCAACAATTTATCTGTTGCTGGATTTCCGGTGAGTGTAGCGGTCCGGTGCCCTAATACCTTCAATCTAGTAAGGTACTGTCTACAAGCTTCACCTGTTCGTTGCTTGCATTCAATGAACTGCTTCATAGCGGTCCCTTTCACATAATGCCTGCCAAATTGAGTTTTTAAACTGTCCTTGAGTAGAGCCCAGCTTGTTGTGGTCTTCAGGGTTGGCTCTGCCTCTATGTACTGCTTGGCTCGATATCTCAGTTTCAATCGAGCTACTGAAATTTTCTGTGTGTCTGTCCAGTCAGCTAAAATACTGGTTTCTTCTAGGACATTTAAAAATTCTTCAGCACTAGTAGTTCCATCATAGGTAGGTATGGAATCTAATCCTATAAAAAGGTTAGGCATGGTGGTGTTGAATTGCGGTACGGGGCTCGGAGGGTTGGACATTTTTGACTTCGCTTGATTAATCTCAACTCAAATTTTAACTAACAAAATTACTACAGTTTCTCTCAATTCAAAAATTATTTTTAGCCCTACCGATGCTTTCACAATACAATTAAAATAGCCTCTTAGTTGCTCTCAATGTACAAATAATAGACAACCCCACACAACTGACACCAATGTAGCAAATCGCCCCAAGTACACTATGTAATTTAGTTAGATGGTAAATGGCGAGCGGTATATTGATGGTGTTTATATGTACTGGAGCTTGCTATCTAAAATATGTGGAAGAGGGTCTATTTGCAAGAGAGAGAAACAAACTAATGAGGGTACTAAATTATATTTTATTTCACATAAAACTCAAAAATCAATTAGCCAAATATCTCCCAATACTTTACATCCTTCTTTAAGTCTGTAAAATTAATACTTCACATCCGTTCTATATTGTTATTATACGGACCACTGAAATATGCCTACTTAATACGAAACGCCCTATTCATACTATTTCTCAAAATAATATTTCTATTTATTTTACTACATCGAAATCATTCCTAATAACTACCCTTTACCTAGTCAAATAATTCCTTAAAATCTCTAAGTCCATTACTTATAAAAACCCAAAATAATTACCTATTTGTTTAACTACTAATTTATTCTCATAAGGTCTTACAATAACCCCTACTTGTAAAATAAACTCCCTAATTCAAAATTCATTCCATGGACAATAAATTCTTTTAACGGCTTTCCCATATTCTAAGACAATTCTATTTCATGAACAAATTCTAGTATAAGTTTCCTTTTAACAAGTGTCCAAAATTTTAAGAAAACATTTCTAATTTATGTCATCAAATTTCTTTTCAAAATTTCCTATTGCAGTTAATGGTTTATCAGAACAATTTCAATTATAAGTTTCCTGTTTAACAACATTCCTTTATTTCAAGAAAACAATTCTATTTTATGTCATCAATTTTCTTTTCAAAATTTCCTATTGCCGTTAATAGTTTATCAGAACAAATTCTATTTTCGGATTCCTATGCCTAGCTAATAAATCCAACTGTTTAATTCATAATTTCCAACTCAAAATTGAATATTGTTAAATGCATTGTAAGTACTCTTCATATTTTTGTTGCACATTTAAATGTCATTATATCTGAAGGTAATTAAAGTTATGCGATAATGTTTCCTTCATAAAACACTCAAGTTATTAATTTCGTTGTAATAAAGTTCCACCGTTAAATTAAAAATCAAAAGTTTTCTAGTAAAATTTCACACAAAGTCATGTTCATCAAAATAAATCTTGTCACTATAAAGTACTTACATTTTGTCCATAAAACACACGTAAAATTATTTAATTAACTACTCAAAATATTTAGCTTCACGCACATTTTTGATTGAACGAAATTTCAACTGTTATTACTTTCTCGATTTTCCGTAAATTTTCTAAGTTAATTTATACCCGAGGCCATAGGCCATAAAAGTAACTTTTCGCGAAACTGGACAGACTTTAACTCAAATGGACGACTCAACTGTGTTCTGGCAACTATCAACTGGGAACTATCTTCAGATCACTGGGAACTATCTTCCGCGAGTTTTATATCAAATCGCTCTCCCCACAAAATTATTATTAAATTTCCCCCAAATCGTCAATATAGGCGGTCGTTAACTTAGGAATCCGAATTTCATTGGACGGCCTCATTGTTATTAAAAGAATGATGCAATTTCCTTGAATATTATATCATTTTTGTAGCCCAAAAATCGACTAATTATGTCGCAATTATCTGATTTATTGAGGTCAAGACGTTTTGGGTTCAAGAATCCATAATTCATTCGACTCAATGTGTGTTAAACGGAAAGGCCTTGGCTAAATAAAGTTCATTGAATCGGATTTTAGGATGACACCACCTCGGTTTTATCAGTTTTTAAGAATTTAATTTAGATGAACGACTTCCGGGTGTCGCTATACGATTGCTTAGTTGGTTTTTATTTTTTAATTTATCGACACAGATTTAAAAATACCGGAATTAAGTTTTTGATTGTTTGATTATTTATTTAATTTTTACAGTAAAGACTTTGTAATTATAGGGTCAAATTTCTGGATCATCACACAGCTTTGTTTGAATTGAGATTTGGACATCGTTTTCAAAATCATAGGACCCATTCTTTTGGTTGACTTCAAGTTCCTATTAGGCTCTAAAATTTGTTGGCTCATTTGTTGAAATAATTCTTCCTGTCTTTCTCTTCTGTTTCTATCAAGAGATCTTTTGTAGAACATTCTTCGGAAAAATATAATAACATGGTATTTCTAAAAATGATTTCTACTGACTTTTCCATTTGTTTAGGATGTTACACTCCCATACCTACATGATTTGCAACAAAATCATTATCTTTTCATTTTAATGAGTGGCGTTTTCAGTGAAGTATCTCTCACACAGGGGCATTAATTGAAGTTTATGCAAGCAAGCAATTTTGATTTTAACACTAATAGGAGCTCAAAAATCATAATAGTTCCAAAAATCTTATTGATAAATTTAATTAATTATACATTTTATACATACATCTATAATAAACATAAAAATACAAAATAATTCTTCACATGTCCTCGGTGCTCCACTTGTAGGTCTCTTCAACGGTGGCCTGTCGTGAATTCTGTATCTGAAACCACTGCTTTTCGTAGCCACTAGACCTGTCTACACCGTCCCATCTATAGCCGGGTCTTATCCCGAATCTATTTGCGGGCGCATCGCCTTGATATTCCTGCGTAACTACAAATTAAATTAAAAGACAATTTCAGTATTTATAAATAATATCCAATAAAAATGCAACTCACCTGGTTTTCCTTCATCGACATGTTTTTTCTTCCTTTTCTGCCTTATATACGCCAACATAGGATCCCCATCCCTTTCCTGTTCTTTAAGATGTCTTTCCAAATCCTCATCATCAGCGTATCTAAAAAAATATTGATTAAAACACATAAATGGAAATAACAATAAATTTGTTTACCTTGCAAGTGGCTTACTCATTTCATGCAAATCACTTTTAATCTTCTCATTTATATCTTCAACTTGTTTCAATCCCTTTCCCCATTTATTATATTTTTCTTTGTTTTCTTCTTCCCTTTTCTTTTTTCGTTCCTCTTCTTCCCAATCAACTTCCTTCTTTTTTTTACTTCTCACTATTGTAGCAGCATTAGCTCCAGAAACATCTGCACTCATGTTTTTAAATAATTCATCTTCTCGCTGTTTTAAGGCTCGAGTCTCGAGCACTAAATTTGCTGCATTTTGAAGACCTGCCGTTTTACCGTCTAGTGTTTTCTTCAATTTGCCATCTTCCGGTTCTTTATCGGCCCATCTTGATTTTTTGTTTTTTCTTGGTGGCGAACTATCCGCAACTCTTCTAGGAGGTGAAGAATCATTTGCCATTTTTGATCTTCTTGGTGGAGAACTATCTTTTCTATGTCTTCTAGGAGGGGAATTGTCAAGACTTTTTTTTGGCGGTGATTTTTCTCTTCTGTGTCTTCTAGGAGGTGAATTATCAGGATTTTTTTCTTGCTTAATTTTTCTGCGAGATGAATTATCAAGACTCATTCCTGATGGTGGACTTTCTCTTCTACATCTTCTAGGAGGCGAGTTATCTGGAGTTGTTTCTCGCCTAATTTTTCTTGGAGGTGAGGAAACATCATTTTTTCTTATTGGAGGTGAATGTTCTTTTCTGTGTCTCCTAGGAGGTGAATTATCAGGACTTTTTCCTGGTGGTGAATTTTCTCTTCTACGCCTTCTAGGAGGCGAGTTATCAGGAGTTTTTTCACGCTTAATTTTTCTTGGAGGTGATGAGTCATTTTCTATTATCGGAGGTGTATTTTCTTTTCTCTGTCTTCTAGGAGGTGAATTATCAGGACTTTTTCCTGGTGATGAATTTTGGTGGTGGCTTCTAGGAGGTGAGTTATCGGGAGGTTCTCGCTTAATTTTTCTTACTGGAGGTGAGGAATCATAATTTTGTTTTATCGGTTGTGAAGATTCTTTATTTGTTCTTCTCGGAGGTGAATTATTATCACAGCTACTTTCCATTTTAATTTTCCTCGCAGGTGAATATCCCTCATTCTTGGAAGGTTTTTTTTTTAGTAAACTTTTCGCCCCATCAACATCTTTTGAAAGCTTGAAACTGCCCTCAAATTTTAAATTTGTTATTGAGCTAGAACTAACATCTGACGCTCCAATGGGTTGCCATAAATGATCCTTAGTTTTCTCATCAATTCTCAAAGATGGCGGTCTATCGTCAATTATAGAAACAATTTGTGGGGCATCTTCATTGTCTGCTGTTAGGTCTACTTTTATTTCTTCGTTAAGATTGACATCTATGTCGTCGTCGACTATTTTAAGCCTAGAAAAAACATGGAGATGAGTTCTAAAAAGAATATGCCTAAACTAAAGACTAATAATACTCAGAAAATACCATGGGAAATAGCTAGATTATTGTTCAAACTGTTAAAAGTTGAAGGAAAAAGACAAAAAACATACAGCCAGAGATCCCAAGTGTGATGTTTTCCTTGAAGGAATTCAATCATCAAACATCAAACAACAAAAAACCGAAGACCAGTTATCAAAACTAGGAATAAGAGCATTTGTTCTAGGAACAATTTTTTGCAAAGGTAAAGGTCAATATGGAGGGGTAAAATAATTTTTCGTCTAAGTAGTAATAATCTTGTATTTAGGCATGTGTATAATGTACATACAACCAATCAATCATATTGTAATTATTATCTGAATCTCCACCTCAAATTTTAGCGCTGGATGCGGTTTGTCAAATTTTAACAGTGGGCTTAGACACATAATAATAATAGGGTTGGTGATTTTGCTAAATATTAAACCTAAAAAGTTAACATGATGATTTGAAATCTTATCAAGTTGCGACAAATTAAGAAAGGCCATACCTCAATACAGACCTCTAAACACCTTGTTTCATCAGAATTCAACCCACACGGCCTGCTTCCATACTCATCATCTATCTCAGGGGATCTATCCATTATACCTTGTTAAAATCACAACATAAATAAAACAGAACAATGTGAGTCAGGGGGAATATAAACATTTACAATTAAAATATGCTTTTGTTGAAGTTGAGCATTACATAGAGTTGCTCTATGGAATCTACATTGGATGCCAATAGTTGACACTTGAAGTCCTGCAATTAGCACCCCAACCTAAGACTTATGCATACTTGTTTTTGTGAACCAATAACACCTAAATATGATATCTTGTATCCTGTGAACCTAGCTCCTCGCCTAGCTTACTTTACTTGTATCATCGTCTTTGTTGAGGAAAGTTTCTGTAAACAAGACTACTCATAATTCTCAATAGATAGATTGCATGACAGTGCTTCATTTCAGATTTTATCCCCCTAACATTCTGATAATAATAGACACTCAGCTTTGTTTGATACTGCTGATTTCCGAACTAAAAATTTGATGATCTGCTGTCATTTTGAGCAAGCGATCTTCTCGAAGTAATAAAATCTGCTTTTTTTTCTATTTTTTCTTTATGTAGTCACAGTGCAAGGATAGATTAAGTTCAGGATCTAGCATTACACCTAAATACTTGAAAGAATTACTCTCTTCTAAGATTCCCCTATTCATAACTATTTTTACTGCTGCATCACTACCTTATCTTTGAACTTAATTGAGGCAGTGCTTAGAGCCAAGAATCATTAATTCCGTTTTTGCAACATTTAGTTTTAAGCCATTTTCTGTAAGCCAAACATTAATATTTTCAAGATCTTTGTTTAAAAGTTTTCCCATTACTGTAATTTTATCAATATCGCACACAAAATAAAGCAAAGTGTCATCTGCAAATAATTTCATATCATTATTGAACAACAGGAAAAGAATAGGTCCCAACACTGAACCCTGAGAAACCCCTTGATCTATCCCTATGTTATTCGAATTCGCATTTTTAAATTTAACATCCTGAAATCTTTTAGTTTAATATCCCTTGAACCATTTTAGTACTTTGCCTCGAATACCATACTTTGCCAGTTTTTGTAACAAAATATCAATGTTAACTGTCTCAAAAGCTCTATTGAGATCCAAAAATACTACACCAATGACTTTTTTCTACTGTATTTGAGATTTCCAATCTGATATCAAAACCTGCAAAGCTGTTTCGCATATATGCTTTTGTCTGTATCCTGATTGTTGCTCTACCAAAGTAAATTTGCAAAATATTTACTCTTCAATCAAATTAAACTTTGCATATAGACAATAATTGGACTTTTACACTAGATTTGCATTTTGTGGAATGAAAAGTTTAGAAACTCGCAGGAGAAACTCCCTGATAGTGTACAGTGTACCATTTAGTATTTATCTGTAGTGTGCACTTTAAACAGATCAAATAAATGAAAATATGAACTGCATTCTCGCCTGCATCTAAATAATGAAGCAACTGATCCTTCACCAGCGATTCCAAAACCTTCTCATAAACTGGTAATGTGTTTATGGGCCTATGCTCTGAACAAAGTATTGATTTTGCAGATTTTGGAACCTTTTTGATTGGGATTACAGTGGAACATTTCCAGGTGTCAGGCAAAAAATTTAAATTGAAGATGTCATGTATTGATTAGGTAGGCTACAAGTAGTATAGTCGAGAGTATACTATAGTATATGACAATGTGTTCCTGAGAATTTCAATATTGAAATGTACATAAAAACAATTTCTTTATCCGTACTGAACTTTCATAACATATTTTTTTATTAAATACTTTCACGACCGCTATTATTAAATTTGACGATGCTCGAAACCAACCGCGTTTTTTTGGGTAGCATAACTTTTGACAGAAATTATATATTTTTTACAGGTTATATGTGTTTTGTTATATATTTTTTGTAATAATATTCAATGTCACATATATGTGACATCGGTTTCCGATAAGTTTTCCATTAAAATTTACCAACTGTCACGATGGCAAACCCTGCGACACACATGTGTGACATAAACTGTTAGCTGTTCTAGACTCTCGGCTACGCTGTATAGGCGATAATTATTATTTAATATCCAGTGAGTGTTACCTTGTAACGTCAAACTCCAGTAGGAGAGTCTAGAAACAACAGAAATCCGCATTAGTTGGGAGACGATATGAATCGAGATATGAACCACAGCTGCCACAAGCTTATGACTGAAACAGATTATCCAATCCTGAAACCATGCGACACAAATTTGTGCCAAACAGTCCTAGAAACTAATGCCAAAACACATCTGTCGCCGTTGAACCGCCCGGAAGTTATTTGCATTCAATCATTGTAGGGTCATTGTCACTCTTGTGTGACATCAGTTCCTGCCAAAAACTGCTTGTCACAATTATGTGTGACGCTTGGTCGTGAAAGTGTTAAAAAGACTCAAGGCGTGTTATTCTTGTCTCCAGCTTTTGGAATGGATAGGGTTATGACTACCATACTTTAGCAGGATGTTCTAGAACAGGTATTGACGGTACTGCCCTAAATTGGTTTTGCAAATGACAAAGGATCAAGTTTGGGGTATCAAAAAAAAAACCTTAAAAGTAAGGTTTTTATCCTTTTTCTTCTACCACTACCATCTTTTAGCAGTGACCTTAGCACTCAGCAGTGACTTAATAAGTTGTTTTAAAAAACTTCCTTGATCAGTGGAGGATTGAAGATGGAAAATACCAAAAACTCAACAAAAGCAAAGTTTTTATCCTTTTTCTCAGAATTTTAGATGGGTACCACTTACCACTACCATCTTGTAACAGGGTCGTGAAAGGTGCTCCGGAATACTGCTACTGTCTCAATTTGGATTTGAAATTGGCTAACTATAATAATAGTTCAATTAACATCTGTGATGGATTGATAGTATATATAAAGGATAGCATTCAGTTTGAAATAGAGCACACAACCCTCGCAACCTCCAAAGTTACGATGACAAAGCTCACCTTTGCAGCGAACAATGAGCATTGTTCGCTGATGGCCTGTTATAGGTCTCCAGGCACATCAGATCATTTGTTCATAAACGATCTTGACGCCTACCTGAATGAAATTCCTAAAACAGAGGGTATCAGTATTTTAGTAGGCGATATGAACCTCGATATTCTAAATAAAGCCAATATTATGAGTGTCAGATATGTTAGCATGCTTCTCTTTTATGGTTTTACATCAGTTATTAATTCATACACCAGAGTAACACCAGATAGTAGATCGTGCATTGATCACATGTTTGTACATAAAACTGGCCTCTTCCAGCAATATTGAATATAATCCTTGTGTCTTGGAGACTTATTTCACAGACCATTACCCTATATATCTGGGCATTTATTCCAACCAAAATCTTAACCCAAATAGTACGGAGCAAAACGAAGTACATTACACAATTTTCGAAAAAGAAAAATTTATAGAAATAATTAAACATCAAACTTGGCAGGATGTATATCAAATCAGAGATGCAAGCCTAGCTTACCAAAAATTTATTGACATTCTCATTCTAACCTCCACAAAAAATAAATGCACATTGCACAAAAGTTACATAAAAAAAATATAAAAAAATTAAGCCTTGGATTACAAATGGCCTGATTAGTTCAATCAGGACCAGGGACCAAATGAAAAGGAAATTACTGAAGCAAAAAAATAATAATAAACTGAGAATTGAATATAAAGCCTTTAGAAATTATTTACAAAAATTAATTACTGCTTCTAAAAACAACTACTACACAAATAAATTACAAGACTCTAAAAAGGACATTAAAAAAATATATAAAATTTTAGCAGACGCATCAAATGAACCTAAGCTTAAGTCTAACCAAGATATACTTATCAAGGACTTGAATAACAAGGATTTTGCTGATGACAAAGCAATGGCCGACTACTGTAATCGGTATTTTTCTGAAATAGGCATAAGTATGGCGAACAAAATTCCAAATAATACAGCAATCTTAAACGAAAAATATCCTACCTTTCTAAATTCTATGGCCTTAAGCCCTATTACAAAAAATGAATTAATAATACACATTGGCTCTCTAAAGAGTAACAGTGCTCCAGGGAGAGATGGAATAACTTCCAAAATGGTGAAACTGTGTCATCAGTATATTGCTGATCCACTTGTATATATTCTTAATCTTATTTTTGCTACCAATAAAATACCTGAAGACCTTAAAACATCTATCTTTACCCCAATTTTTAGGAAAGGATCTAAAACTGACATATCTAATTATAGACCCATTAGCTTAATAAACACCTTTGGCAAACTTTTTGAAAAGTGTTTGAAGGAGAGGTTATATGGTTACTTAATCAAGAATAAAATACTCAGTCATAAACAATTTGGTTTCCAGAAAAACATGAGCACAAATGATGCTTTATATAAACTTATTGAACATATTAAGTAAATATGGACTGGACCAGGGAAATAAATGCATTGGAGTCTTCATGGACCTTGCAAAGGCCTTTGACACTGTGCCCCATTCTGGATTGCTTGATGTACTTGAGCGATATGGGATTCGGGGTACAGTGTTGGAGCTTTTCAATAATTATCTTCAGGGTAGAAGGCAATCAGTGAAAATAAGAAATTCCATTAGTGAGCCCAGTACTGTGCAAATTGGAGTGCCTCAGGGTACAGTGCTTGGGCCCCTTCTTTTTATCTTATACATAAATTCACTTCTGTCTTTAGACATAAAAGGTTTAGCCCTATCATACGCAGATGACACGATTCTCATTTTTGAGGACGATACATGGAATTCAGTCAAAACAAAAGTGTCAGATGGCATGACTATTGTGAAGAGGTGGCTGGACAAACATAAATTGTCTTTGAATATTGCAAAAACTGTGTATGTGGCTTTTTCTCTGACAGATGCCAACAGACCGATCTTCAATGAAATAACCATTGATCATCAATCAAATTTTACTATAAAAGAGGTCAAATGCACAAAACATCTTGAGATAATTGTAGATAAAAATCTGAAATGGACCCCACACATACAAAATTTAACAAATAAAATCAAAAGTCTGATACACAAATTTTATCTAATAAGAAATATCTTGAGTAAAGAATCTTTAATAATTATATATCAATCCGAGTATCAATCCCTTGTCGAATCTTTATTGTGTTATGGAATAGTGGTCTGGGGTGGACTCTACAATAACGCACTAGAAACTAGAAACTCTGAACACCATACAGAATTATATCCTGAAAATCATATTTAAAAAGGACAGGTTGTTTCCCACCTCACTCCTATATAATAACAAAATTCTTAATGTCAGATCTTTGTACTTTCATGCTAGTTGTGTGTTCTGTTTTAAACTGAAGGAAAAGGGTTATGTGGATCACCAATATAAAACTAGGCAGATGATTAACAGACACCTTACTGTCCCATTTCGTAAGTTTGATAGAAATCAAAGATGTAACTCTGTGTTAGGGCCAAAGATTTTCAATAGACTGCCTCGTTCCATTCGTGAGGCAAGGAATAGAAAAGCTTTCTCATTGCATTGCAAACAGTTCATTCATGAAAATTATGAAACTTTGAATGATCTTTTGTAGTTGAAAATGTGGTTGGGGCTGTTATTTGTTATCTTTTTTTGTTTGTTTATTTTTTTTTCATATTTATATTTAGTATAGAATGTTGAAGAACCGCTAATTATTATTTATAATGTAAATTGATTCTCTGCTAGAAAATTATCTCAAAGTTGTAACCAATGTTACCAGGGTACCCTGGTGGATTTTGGTGATACACATACAGGTGCTCTGCATCTAGGTGTACTGTATTTTCAGATTGACAACTAAATTAAATTAAATGGAATTATTTACTATGTAATAGATTGTATTGAAATTTGTATTTAATAAAGATTTAAAGATTTTAAAGAACAAGTGTTGGAGATATCAAAAAAGTAAGGGTTCTATCTTTTTTCTCCAGATTTCAGATCGGATTTCATTTAATTTAACTGTCCTAGTTCTTAGGTACTTTCACTATGGTATTACTTGCTTAAGTTCATTCTAGGTTTTGTCAACTACTTTATCTTGGCAATTTGTTATATCTAATCGAGTATCTAATTCTTGATTTAACTACACAATGTGAAACCTATTTTATTTGAATTTGTACTAATGCAGCTTGGTAGTACACAAACGAAGAATTTTTCAATTTCAATATTTATTTAGGTGGCACAACATAACAATAACAATAGTGAAAATTCTCACCCATTTCCAGCGATTTTTTTTGTTTTTTTCTTTTTCTTCTTGTCTCCAGACTTTTTTCCCAAGCCGAGGTACTTTCTCAGATATTCCTTCTGATTTATAACACTCATTTTGTATCAAGTAAACTTGTAAACTAATAAATTAATAAATTGGAAATAGAAAACAAATCCAACATAAAATTTTATAAGTAGTTGTGAGGTTAGGGTTGAATTGTTGAATGTTTTTTTACATGTCAAAATTTATAGCGATTACATTTGGCAAAAAAGTGTCGCACCAACTCGCAGTCATTCATCATTAATTTGGCTTTAGGATTAGATCTTGGATCTCTATGGTGAATTTGAAAACTAGAACTGTTTTTTCGTAGTGGAACTGTTTCGATCCGGTTCAATTAGGTTCGAACCTGTACATTCTTGCGTTGAACCAGTGACGTCAGACGTCACATTGAACCTGGTTCAAAAAAGTTCGAACCAGACTCATGGCTTGTTCTCCGTTGACATTTTTTTTTTAACAATCCTTTATTCAAAAGCTTTATTGTACATAAGACTGTGGTTCAAACTTTTCTCTCGCGTTCACAAATGATGACGTCATCTACAAATTGGTTTAAACCGTGGTTCGAACTAAGGTTCGAACCATCCGCCCAGCGAGAAAACGCCTTATCCCGGTTTTCCACCAAACAGACAAAACAAAAACAAAACCCAAACTCAAACTTTTTTCCAACATTTTCAAGACTAGCGTGTTTTGAGACAGTTGGAGTTTTGTTTCCCCGAGAAAAAACGGACTGTTGAGTTTTTGTTTTAAAACATGTTTTAAAACAAAAACAAAACTGAAATAAATACAAAACTCTTGTTTCCATCAAGCGGACTACGGACTACGTTATGTTTTCTTGGCGAAAAAAAACTCCAACTGTCTCAAAACACGCTAGTCTTGAAAATGTTTGGGAAAAGTTTGAGTTTAGGTTGTGTTTTGGTTTTGTCTGGTGGAAAACCGGCATGGATTAAATTTAAATTAATAGTTTTTCGTCATTTAGATCTCCTGTGCAAAAATTAATGCTTCAAGCCGAAGGTGATTTAAATACTGAAAAACCTAAACTAATGTTGATAATAAAATTGATGATTATTCATTATAGAAATTGATTTATTCATGAAAAGATTTCAAGTTTCAAGAAATCAATTATTGAATAAATATATAGTTTAAAAAAAACGCTTTTATAGTACCTAAATTGAACTAAAAAGTGAAAAATAATTTTTAATATAAACAGAAAATATTAATGAACAAAAAATATTAGAATTATTGTGAAAAAAGCGTGGGGTGCTTTGTTCGCTTTGTTCCACATTTCTCGTACATTGAACACCCCACACAATAATTCTAATATTTTTTCTTCATTAATATTTTCTGTTTATATTAAAAATTATTTTTCACTTTTTAGTTCAATTTACTATAAAAGCGTGTTTTTTAGTTTTTTTAAACTATATTTATTTGTCACTTTTCAGTTCGATGCATTATTTTGTTATTCACTTTTTTATTTTGAAGAAAAAACTTTAATTCTTATTTGTGTTTTGTTTATATTTTGTGGGTATTGAGATTATGGGAGGAATGGTTGACATTGTTGACATAAAGACACAATCAAAAAATTATGGTGTGACCGGTGCGACACCTGGAGTGTGCCCGAAGTACTTTCTGAACGGCACAGAGTGCGCGCACTCGGTGTGCCTATAGCATATATGAACGGCTAGTGCGTCGCACCGGTATCACACTCACACTGAGTGTGTCATTCCTGAATTCGCCCCAGTGATTTCCAGACTTTTGCAGACATTATCCAGACTTATTCAGAGCTTTCCATAGTTTTCCAGATTTCATCCAGATTTTTCCAGACTTGTTCAGACTGATCCGGATTCTGGAAAATGATCCCCAGGTCTTTTGGGACCTTATCCAGAATATTTCCGACCCTTTCAAGAAGTTTCCAGGCCTTTTCCAGACGTTTCCAGAGATTTCCAGACTTCTCCCAGATTTATCCAGCGTCTTTTCGGACCTTTTCCAGAATTTTTCCGACCCTTTCCAGAAGTTTCCAGGCCTTTTCCAGACTTTTCCACAAACATTATCCAGACTTATCCAGAGCTTTCCAGAGTTTCCCAGACTTCATCCAGATTTATCCAGACCTTATCAGACTTGTACAGGGTGGGCCAATTTGGACACTTTCTTATGGAAACAACCTTTATTTTTAGAGATAGAAAAAAATGAACCCCCCACTCTGAGGCTCAAATTTCATGAAATTTTGATTGGTGCAAACCGCATTTTAATTTCTTCAACCGTTTAGCCGCTAGAGGGCGATTCTCGATTTTGAGCAATACTGTGAAACCTTCATAACTTTTTTATTTATGAAAATAATTCAATTCTGTAAAGACTTTCTGGAAGCACTTTTTTAAGTGGAATTCAGTGACGTTCTCAGCTTTTTTCTATTTAGCTCCGATTCCGAGATATTGACCAAAATCCGATTTTTTTCAATAGGACATCCTATATATTAATAGCTCATTGAAAAGCTCTGCTTATGCTGATTTCAATGATATAAAATTCAATAGGTTTATCTCCAACGGTTTCGGAGAAAAAAATTATTTCGATTTTTGTCGTAAGACACAAATGTGTTGGAAAAGGACTTTATATCTGTAAGGAAAACGAGAAAGGTCTCTTTCTAACACATTGTTTCTTATGACAAAAACAGAAATAATTTTTTTTCTCGGAAACTGTTAGGGATAAACCCATCGAACTTTAGATCATTAAAATCAGTAAAAGCAGAGCTTTCCAATAAGCTATTAATATATAGGGTGTTCTATTGAAAAAAATCGAATTTTGGCCAATATCTCGAAATCCGAGTCAATTAGAAAAAAACTGAGATCGTCACTGAATTCTTCTTAAAAAAGTGCCTCTAGGAAGTCTTTACGGAAATCAATTATTTTCATAAACAAAAAAGTTATGAAGATTTCACAGTATTGCTCAAAATCGAGAAACGCCCTCTAGCGGCTAAACGGTTGAAGATATCAAAATGCGGTTTGCACCAATCAAAATTTCATGAAACTTGAGCCTCAGAGTGGGGGGTTCATTTTTTTCTATCTCTAAAAATAAAGGGTGTTTCCATAAGAAAGTGTCCAAATTGGACCACCCTGTACAGACTGGTCCGGATTCTGGAAAATGATCCCCAGGTCTTTTGGGACCTTTGGCAGAATTTTTCCGACTCTTTCCAGAAATTCCAGGCTCTTTCCAGACGTTTCCAGAGATTTCCAGACTTTTCCAGGCTTTATCCAGATTTATCCAGACTTATACAGACTGCTCCAGACCTTATCCAGTCCTTTCCTGGCCTCCCTGGACTTCTTCCAAACACATGCCCGACTTGTTCTACCTCACTTGGCTTGTTCCAGGTTCTTGTTCATACACTTCCCAAGAGTCCAAAAGTTCGCACGCATTCCTATGTGCCCGTGCGATAAACATTTTCAATGTTACTTACCAGTGGCGTAGCGAGGGGTGGCAGAGGGGGCCATGGCCCCGAGCGGCATACGAGAAGGGGCGGCAAATTTTAATCAAAAATCTCTAAATTACCATCGTCTAAATAGGGAACTTGCACTAAATTTGAAATAAAAAATTTCCTGCCAAAACAATGCTTCCCAGGCAACCTTTTTTGCGTCACGATTCTGTAAAGTAAACAAGCAAGCCTGTCAATAGGGAACTTGCAACTGGAATAAAATTTTCAAAAGCAGTTCTACACCCTACACAATATTCTTCATCCATTGCGACAATTTCCATAAAAAATTAAAAAGCAAACTTTAACACAATGAAATAACAAAAAAATAGCATTGCGTCAGCAGGAGTTTATATACTGCGTTTGTTGTTCACGAAATCTTGACGTCACGAGCGCTGTCATATTGAAACCTCGCGTTTCCGCGCCAAAGTTTTGATTTGAATTTCAATAAAAAAAAAATCTACGAGCGTGCGGAAAAGTGTACTTTTCCGCACGCATTTCACGTCATGAAAGTACCACTTTTCCGCACTAGTGCTTTTTCGTTTTTTTTCCGCACTGAGTGCGCAAAAGTAGAATACCTGAAATTTTTAGGTTTACAGGTACTTACAGGTATACTGATATACTACAGGTACAGGTACGAAAAAGTGAAAAAAATATCTTAAATTGATAAATATGTAGGTAAAAATATTAACTTTCATCTCGTAGAAAAAAATAGTGTTCCTAACTCGTGCGGAAAAGTGGTACTTTCCGCACTAGTTAGGAAATATACTATTTTCGCAAAGTGGGGAAAACTGTTGAGTGAACCTCAAGAATTGTAAACTTTATAGTAAATTAGGTTAAAACAAAATTGCTAATTAGTCTTACTGACTAGACTAGATTGTAATAGGTTCGTTCCAACCCAGCCAAAAACCGTTCAATGTACGGTCACGGTCATGCCATAGGTTAAACGCGTTCCAACCGAGAGATGATCGTTTACCGTACAGTTTCGTTGGCGTTCCAACCAAACCTGGGATCGTTCGAGAACTGGTTTTAGCACCGTCATTTCGATCCCGAGTGGAAAGCAAGAACTGCGTCGACTGATCCATGACTGACATGCGTAATTCAATTTTTGTCACCTGTTGTTGTTGTTCATGTTGTTGTTAAACAGCCAATTTCCAATCTAACTTATAAGACTGTAGCATTTTTATTTTTTCAAGTGAAAAAAAGTACAAAATTTATTATCAGCTATTTGCTAATCCTTGGATGTTATCAGCTCGCAAGGATTCAGTTTCAGATTCTTGATAATGAATCAGCGTTGGTGTTCGATTTTCCTTTTTTAAAAATTATTTTGTAATCCTAATCCTATATTCTTCTATTTTAATTTGCAAACAAACAAATTTAGGGTTACCCCGGACCCTGTCGTCATTACGAAAACGATCATGAAACCGTTCCAACTACCCGTTGTTTCTGTACCAAGATAAAACCGTGCAAGGTCAACGCATGCGCCTGCAATCGATCCTAACAGTTCCGAAACCGTTTCATGACGATACGAAAACGGGGGGTTGGAACGAACCTAATGTAATAAAAACAAATGTGTTTGACAAATAAAAAAAAAATAAAAATTTTCGTACAACGTACAACGTATAAATTAAAATGGAAAAAAATATAGGTATATAGGTATATTTAAATTTCCTATTACAGGATAGAGCGACGAAAGCTCACGCTACGCCACTTAACTTACAAACATACAGGTGAAGCTAATATAAGCGTGTTAAAAAAAAAGATATGGAGGCGCCGGGCATCGATCCCGGTACCTCTCGCATGCTAAGCGAGCGCTCTACCATCTGAGCTACGCCCCCTGTGACAAAATTTACCTGAGATAGAAATTTCGCGAATTTGCATAAATATGGCTTTAAATATGTACATAAAACATTTACCTCTTATTTGTGTTTGTATTTATTTAAATATTTTGATCCATTTTAAATTCTAGATTAAATAAAATGGTTCACATTCAGGTGTAGACTGTTCAACTCAACTACAAAAGTCTTCACAGGGGGCGTAGCTCAGATGGTAGAGCGCTCGCTTAGCATGCGAGAGGTACCGGGATCGATGCCCGGCGCCTCCATATTTTTTTTCAAATACTTTTTTTAATCCTACTTGAAACAATATTTTTTTTTAAATGGATTGTTATAACTCGATATCTACTTATAAATAAAACAATTTCCAGTTTAATTAGTATCATTTTTATTCTCAACATTAGTTTCTTCAACAGTATTTAAATCGCCTTCGGCTCGAGCCTCAGCTTCAGGTTCAATAAATGCCAACAAATTATATTTTTTATATTTGTAAAAATCAGGTACGACAGCCAAAAATGCAAAACCTCTAATAATTTCAACTACAATGGACACTTCAGCATTTTTTAAATCGACTTTGTGTACCAATTTGTTGGATGTGCCTTGGTTCAGGACATTATCCGCGATGGTTTTTATGACTTCATCCCTCGAAACACTGTCATTATTTCTGTGATTGAAGATAACAGAAAAGCTTTTCGCACTAGTGGAAAAGTATTTCTCACACAGAGCCTGGAATGCTTGCTCTATCTCCTTCACCTTAGCTTTGCAAGTTACTTCAACTGGTACGAGCCTCAGCAAAAATTTGGTCTCCTGAGTCTTTTTTTCAAAAATTTCACTCATAATAGCCTCGGCTAGCTTCACAGGATCTTCAACAGTAGTCTTGATGAATAAAAAGTTTTTTGCCCCAGAATCTACCACCTGGAATCTTCTAGGAGTTGCGGCACGTAACACTTGCAACTCTTTTTGAAGATCCTCTTCAATACCACCTTGAGCTTCTGCTGAAGTGGATTCAGCAGGTTCCGGGGGCCACAGTATGTCAGCGTACTTGTTTAATAGATTATAGGTTTCCCTTATACAATCTTTTTCTCTGTTGTTGCAGCTGCACAAAAATCCTTTGAGATTCACCTCCACATTTGAACGTTTTGGAGCAGGTTTATTGTAGTATGGGCGTGAGGAATAGGGCTTTCGCGCTTTACTCATTTTAGTGCAATAATCTATGCAAAAGCTTACTCAAAGAAATTCGAAGGAGGAATTTGGCGTTGAGACACACCAAAATCGGCTTCCGCAGTTCGTTTACAACTTTACAGACACAAGCTTTGATTGAGGTTATGACGGTTAGGTTTGTTTTTTGAAGGTTTTTTGTGTTTTCCTATTCCATGCTCTAATCCGAAAATATGTCGATCACGTTAATAGAACAGGTTCTAGAATCTGTTCGGAGTACGCGTAGTTGAAAACAACCCGTTCGGATTTCGTTGCACTATTCTAGAACTATTCCGAAAATGTACTGCTATCAAAAGAGTTTTCTAAATTCTAGCTGCTATTCGTAATTCGAGTACTCGTTACCTAATCGGATTCGAAGTAAGAAATATATCAATTACATTAACATAAATATTTGCTTGTACAGTCGTGAGCACAAAAAGTGGGACACCCGACTGACAGGTCTTGTCATTTTTCGCTATTTTAGTCCTTTTCAGGTGGTCCGGTTTAAACTAACCCGTTTTCTAACCCGGTTACAAAGTGAAGTGATCGATACCACTCGAATTTGAGCGGTATGTTGCGGTTTGTTAAACCGGAGCCACGTGAAAAGGGTTTTGGGTAAAGCCGCTTTCCAGCTGTGTGCTTCAAGCACGGTGCAGAACAGTGTTCTGTAGTTCTGTGTTTAAAACGCAAAAGTTAGCAGCTCTCGAAGCGCAGTACGGCTGGAACTGATTATTTGTCAAATATGACAATCACTGTCATTGCCCTACGTGTTCCACTTTTTGTCCTCAGGACTGTACCATCGTCACCAAAAGTATCTGGTACACAAATAATGCATAATAATCTCCTGGACTAATTCTACTGTCATTTATTTCAATGCATTTAATTGACCTTTTGTTTGGACGCCATATTGCGGTGCGCGAACATAGTTGCCAAAACAAGATAACCAAAAATTACTAGCGGGCTGTCAACTAGATATTTTATTATTTCTATTCTGCTCAATACAAGTTAAAATTAATGGTTTTTCTTTCCAAAAACATTCGTAATAGGCGGTAAATTTAAATTTTAAATGTAATTTATTCATTAACTTTGGATTTTAAAGTTGACAGAACGCTAATAATTTTTTTTTCTACTGTTGGCAACTATGTTCGCGCACCGCAATATGGCGTCCAAACAAAAGGTCAATTCATATTTTGACAAATATTTGACAATAATTTATATAATAGGACAAGAGCTAATGTGATGCTGTCCCAGTTACTTTTGGTGACGATGGTACATACATTACATGTATAGTGTAGTTACAGAATGTAGAGAGAGATGGGGCTTAGGGCGGGTATTGTAAAACTGCTTTGACAGTTAACTTGAAGTTAACTTTTTGAATTACATGTAATTCCAGAAGTTAACTTTAAGTTAACTCTCAAAGTAGTTTTATAATACCCGCCCTTAAGGCCGCAACGGCCACTCTCTATGGGCCACCCCTTCAAATTATATTTTAGTTCTAAAAAAAATTTATAGATGGCGCCAAGATGAAAGCATTCTAAATATTATAGCGATTTCAATTTGCAGAATCAGTGCAACTTTTTTCACTCAGTTCGCACTGATTGGCTAATGGGATTATGGAGGGATTTGTATTTCCATGCCTGGTATGACTTCAAATTTTGTTCTACTCTGTAAAAGTGATGTTTTGTTGTAGATCTTGTTTTTGTGGTATGTTTAGTTGTGGTAGGTATGAGATTTTCAGGAAGCAATTGGCACATGAATGGGCTTACAAATAGAGGAATATTCGGAGGAATAATAAAAAAATAGTCTTACCAGGAGTCTTACACAATTTCAGATATTGGTAAAAGATCCAAGAGCTAATAAAAGAAATGCAAATCGCCAGATACCTAAATGGAATGCTCTACTGCATTGGTGGATATTATTATTGCACTAATATGCAAAAACACAAAGGAAAAACTCTAATTTTAGCACTTTCCACCTTTTGTAAATAAATTTGAATAACTATTATTGAAGCTTTCTATTTTTTCAAAGACATTTTGTCCTACAAAACACGATCCATTTTTTTTATGTATAGGTACCTAGGTACGTAAAATAGGTAGGTATACTTTATTTATTTTCAATGGAAACTAATGGATGGCACAGCATGCTTTGTATCTATTATTTTATAAACCAATAATAAAAAACAAAACAAATACACAAGGTGAGAAAGAGGTTCTGTTGTCAATAGGCTTTTTTAGAAACGCTGAACAACCTACATCAGCTGCTGCTTCAACGGTTCGGGGTTTTCGAAAACGCCTAATTATGACATCACGAATTGACTGGTGGCGCCATTTTCGAAAAAAAAAGCCTGAACTATAATTGCCAAATTATCTGTATTCTGTAATTTTATTCCAAAATCGGATTTATGGCCATTTCCACCAACTAATTTAGGGAAGCCCTAACGATAGGTATGCCTTAAACTGACATTTCTCCATGTAAAAATGTCATTTTAGGGAATACTCATCGTTAGGGCTTTGATCGATTATCTAGAGAATACTGCTCTTATTTTTTCAATTTTTACCGTGGTTATTTCTATTTTTGGGAAATAGTTCATTTTCACAATATAAGCCAAAAAAAAAATTCGAAATATGGAAAATCTAACTGCACTATTCTCTAGATAATCGATCAAGGAATCTTTATGCCAAATTTCAGCAAATTCTGATGTGCGGTTTTTTTTTGTAGTCTAAATCCGATTTCTGTATTTTGTATCGTGTGCATGGGAGCGATGTTGGAGCCTTAGGGCGGGTATTATAAAACTTCTTTGAAAGTTAATTTAAAGTTAACTTCTGAAATTACATGTAATTCAAAAAGTTAACTTCAAGTTGACTGTCAAAGCAGTTTTATAATACCCGCCCTTAGGCCTTTTTGAATTACATGTAATTCAAGAAGTTAACTTTAAGTTAACTGTCAAAGCAGTTTTATAATACCCACCCTTAGAGCGGGTATTATAAAACTACTTTGAGAGTTAACTTAACGTTAACTTTTTGAATTACATGTATTTTCAGAAGTTAACTTTAAGTTAACTCTCAAAGTAGTTTTATAATCCCCACCCTTAATAGCAATAACAATAACAACTACAACAGTATTAAATCGACCGAAAGTCTACTCCAAGGATAATACACACAACTACTACAGGGATCTGAAAATATAAAATAATAAGTTCAAAAACTTTTGAGAAAATTGAAAAATAAGCATAAACAAACCAGGGGACAAATTATAGATTAATTTGGGCGGCAAACTGGTGTGAAATTTAAATTTTACTGGCATGAGAAACAACAGTATTTGGTGCTGCTCGAGCAAATTCACATCAGATTTGGCATCGCCGGTAGAAGACGAAAAGTAGGTTTAGGCCCAAGGTTTTGACCAAGAACACTTTTGGCATTAGCATAGCTATCCTTGAACGCACTCCGGGATAGCTTATCCTCAAGCTTATTACTTTTCATGCATCCGTTTTTCCGTCAATCCAAAGATCCGGAAGTCATCCTATTGGTCCAATATTTTGGCGCCAAAATATTGGGCCAATAATAATACTTCTGGATCATCGGATTGACGGAAAAAGGGATGTATGAAAAGTAAGCTTAAGGCCTGTGTAAATCAAATCTCGAGCCCCCCACCTCGCCAAAGAACCAGTGATGACGTGGCAGCGTGTCGTTCCTCGCCTTGACGTAGGGTGTTTGTACCACATGCTATGATTCCACGGGCTTTTGCTTTATGAATACTTGGTTTCAGTACATTTATATATCATTCTGAAACAATACTTTTTTAGATTTCGTTTGCATCTTCCTCTTTGCCTATTATGTTAATCAAAATTAAATAATATTTTTCATCATAAATGTATAATCTAAACTACGACCGCTGGCGCAAACAACTGACGACGTAATCGATGACGTTACAGACCTAAAGTTATATAACAACACATCATTTTTACAGAGTATCTAGCCAAGAACAAACGAGACTCGATGCCACTAAGCCTAAGGTAGCGGCTATAGAGCACCATTTTTTTTTTATTTGGATAATATTTCGTCAAATAGGTATCTGATGTATAACAAAATTTTACATCCAACCTTGAAAATCGGAACCAGATCAACCATGACCCAAAAGCGTCACACGAGACGAGTAAAGTCTGTTTTTTTTTAAAAGATAAAAGTTAAAATGACTTTATGTTGGCATTGTTGGCAATACAATGTAAAATTGTCAATGCTTTCAAATTTTTTATGTAGAAAAGGCTTGTGTTTCCAACATAGTTACTAAATTTTTGACTTGGGGAAAAATCTTTAAGAAAAAAACAGACTTTACTTGTAGTTCTTGGGGCCTTATTCTGTAAGGAACGAACCGTTCGATTCGGTAGAATTTCTTCGATTGTGACGTCATTTTTGGTTTGGTAGCGTGAAAACCAAACCGAAAATGACGTCACAATCGAAGAAATTTTACCGAATCGAACGGTTCGTTCTTTACAGAATAAGGCCCCTGGGAACGTCAATGGTTCTCGGTTCTCACAAAAATCAAAGACCAGTCAAAGGTCAAAGCGAATTTCATTGGTTGAAAATAGTCAGAAAACTGGTTGTTGGCGATTTGCAGTTTGCACCAATCAAAAACGCTGAGCCGTCAGCGGCGCCAGCCTGTCACGCTCGGCACCTGTAACGCTCATTTGTTTCGGGTACAGGTACAGTCGTCTTCAGTCGAGTCGACTTAAGCCATGCGACTTGAGCGAGAGAGAAAAACAGTTATTAGATTTTATCTAAAGTAATTTTTGACAAATCAATTATTTATTTTTCCTATGACCACATACGGAAGTTACAAAAATCCGCACTTGTTGGTTCTTGAGGTTCTTTGGAAAGCGCTAAATATTACACGCGTGCCGAAAGTACTTTCAATCAACACTCTTGGAAAATACTCTGTTGACGTTATTTGTGATCCACATCACAATTTACTTTCAACACGTCGGTTACAAAAGAGAAAATTGGTGTAAATCGGTTTCTGGTCGTAGGAAAAATGGTGTACCTACATCACTTGTGAGAAAGCGTCTTTAATACACTCGTGTGATTTTTGATTACCGAAAAAACACTCGCGTGAAATCTGTCACTTTCTACACTCGTAATGTAATATACTATTTCCTACGACTACATACGAAAATGACAAAATCCGCACTAGTTGGTTCCTTTGGAAAGCGCTAAATAGTAAGTAGGTATCACACGCGTGCCGAAAGTACCTTCAATACGTGTGCTAAAAGTACTTTCAGCACACGTGTGGAAAATACTGTTGACATTATTTGCGATTCACATCACAATTAACTTTCAATACTTACGTGGTTTGAAAGTACCGGGTGTTTTTTTATCTTTGATATCATTTTGATCACCTGTAACTTTTTTGTTTTTGAAGTTATCAAGGTAAACAAAAAAACAAAATGTAGGGTTAGTAGCCAAGTTTTTTTTCAAGTTACACATAAAACAAAACACTATCAACTTTTTGACCTATAAGCCTACATTATATTTTTTCAAATAGAACATCCTGTATATTATATGTGTGTTCGATAGAATATCTTATTCTGATTACAATGATATAACACACTTCATATTTTGGTCCACTCATTTTTGACAAATCGGCAAAAATATGAAACCTATGAAACTTTTCGAAGTGAAACTTATTAGGCGGGGGTCTGATATTTGGGACGAGAATTATTGAGAGCTAAAAATTTCAAATATTTTTGCCGATTTGTCAAAAACGAGTGGAACAAAATATGAAGTGTGTTATATCATTGTAATCAGAATAAGATGTTTTATCGAATACACATATAATATACAGGGTGTTCCATTTTAAAAAATATAATGTAGGCTTAAGATGTCAAAAAATTGATAGTGTTTTGTTTCATGTGTAGCGTGTAAAAAAACTTGGCTATTAATTCTACATTTTATTTTTTTGTTTACCTTAATATCTTTAAAAACAAAAAAGTTAGAGGTAATCAAAATGATATCAAAGATAAAAAAACACCCGGTACATGATAGTGAATGACCCACATAGGTTTCTAGCTCAGGGTCTCTAGTACTCAGTACTCTAGTTTAAGTACATACCTACATCTATTGTTTAACTATCATGTTGAAATAAAGGAAAAAAAAAATGATGAAAAAAATACTACGATTCGTCCGTTGCGATGGATACGTAGTACCTTTTTATACAATGGTAGTACAAATGCGCGCTTACCTTAAAAGCCATCATAAAAGCCATGTTTTATCTAAAGAACCATGATACATGGAAGATCAATCTATGCAATGAATATAGAACACAAAAAATAGTTATTTGTATACCAAAGCCGCCAGATGCCTTTTTAGCATACGTAGATAAAAGTCGAGATAAAAGTTATCGCCGAGGCCGCTAGAAAGTTTTGCGATCATATACACTCTATTTTTTGTGCAACTATGAAAATTATCTAAGTTACAGAAAACTGGTATGGATTTGTAAGATTTTGCACGTAAGGTGTGGCGGCCGCGAAATTGAATTTCGCCGACTGTGTCAACTGTGTGGCGGCCGCGAAAGCTCATTTCGCGGACGGTTGCACAAAAAAATATATACTTTTCCGCACGCGACGTTATTGGGCAGACATCCGAATAACGCAAAGATATATTAAAAGGGTGGAAACACTTTTCCAAGCCCAACAATGTTCCTTAAAGCATTTATTATAATCTTGAGACTGTTGAATAGGATTTGCTCCAAATAATTGATTAAATTACAATAGTTATTGTGGCGCCATTTATTATTGAGCTATTTTTTGAATGTCAAAGATTATGGTCGCCATATAATCATCCTATCGCTATCGACGGATTTTCGTCCTACTATAGCTCTAGCTCGTGTCTCGCAATCTCGAAATTTTACTCCAAGCGCGCGTTAGAAATTTGAAAAAACGGGGGAAAAAATCTGTTATGTTCTAGTTTCAGTTGTGTCGAGAAAATGTCAAAATCACAACAAAATCCAAATCTTTAGGTCTGTTTCTGCTGCAGAAATCACAAACCAGTCAGAGTGAATTTCATTGGCTGAAACTAGGTTATATTAAACCATATATCGTTGAAATCAGGTTAAAAGGGACTAACAAATAAGTGCACAAAATACAGGGTGTTCCATTTAAAAAAAATATAACTTGACACCGCTGCACTTTTTTGACGCACCCTGTATGCCTAAAATCAACTTGGTTAAAAACATTCGACAATTTATTGAAACTTTTATTTTTGACACTTTTGTCAGAAATGTCAAATGAAAAAGTTAGAAGGGGGTGACATTTATAATAGATCACCATGTACTTTATTTTACAGCAAAATCAAGTGCTACTTCATTGACTCAAAACTCTTCTATAAATAGCACTTTATTGGTCAATCAAACATAAAAAGTAAATTTTCGAAATAAAGTTAAAGATTAAGTTTTTGGTTAACTCTTTCGGTCAACAACAGTTCCGTGCGGAAAAATCGATTTTCTGCAGTGACTTTTCTGCGCTGTTTTATGCCTGTAGAAAAAAACAATAATGGTATATTACATACAGAATAGGAAAGTGTTTCATTATATTCATATGAATCCAAGTTGCAATGCAAATAAAATACTTTCATATATTTTTTTTTATTAAAGACATACAAATGTTTATAATATTTTTCTATACACATACATTTATAAATACAATAATAAATATACAACGAGAAAACAAGAATTATTACGTAAAATAATAAAAGTTAAAATAAAAAAAAAAACGCGATGAACATTATATAAACAAAAAATTATTGTCAGACTTTCTGCTTAAAAATAAGTGTATTTATCTCGATTTATCACAGCCTAAAGCACTTGGATGAATACTAGTCTTTCAAAATGAAAATTATGGCAACATTGCCGAGTCCAACTGTATATAATTTCAGCCAATTTTTAAAATGTTTCTAACAAATGCTGTGTGGGCAGATTTAAATAAAACAATTTTCTTTAATTTAAATTACAGGAGAACTGGGTTGAAAATTATTGCACTAATGCCAACACTGCATTTGCGACATTGTAAAATCAGCTAAAAAATAAGCTGCCATTCTGTGCAATGGTAACATTGCCACATATTCATTGTAACATTAAATTCTCCAAATTTCGATGTAAAATTGTGTCTTTGACTGAGTAAAATACAACTTTAATATTTTCTGTATCCACAGCTGTAGTGAAATGATGATACAGAGCTTTCTTGCGATCGCGTTTGGCACTAACGAAAAAATTTAATAGAAATTTTTGAACATCATCAAGCGAGTGACTGTTGCCCCTGAATTGGGGAAAATACCATCTTATGTCTGTCTCTGGATTTTTCACTTTTTTCTTCAACAAATCAAATTTATTTAAAAACAAAATAATTGAAATTCCACTGAATATTACATTGTTAACTATAGTATCAAATATATCTCTGGCCTCCTCTAACCTATTGGTTTTCCTATCTTCGAATAGGACCTGGTCGAATTCAGAGGATGAGACAAGAAACAAAATTGATGTTACAGAATCAAAGCATTGAAACCATTTTTGGCGCTGGGACCTTTGGCCCCCAACATCGACAAAAAGAAATGGGATGTTTTGAATGGGAATTTGGAACTCTGTTATACCTTTGGTAGCTTTGCGGCAGTGTAGAATGTCTTGATGCGACGGAGAATAACTTGGATCTGAGATTCTGTCTAGATGTTCCAGGAAATATTCGATAGAGTCACTCTGCAATTATTGAGAAAATTATATTAATATGAATCATATAAAAGTGAGTCACAGTTTAAATTAGAAAAAATTATGTACTAACCAATTGAAACTCTCTCCTTCTATCAAATGCTCTCCTTATCCCAGAATCCTTCCACAGTTTCACAATCGTATCGGCATGTAGGCCAAATTGTCTCGGATCCAAAATTAAACTATTGTTGACCTTTAATTGGAGCAATTGTCTGCCTAATTCTTCATTATCCTGGTTCTCTAATGGAATGCCAAGTTTGTCTCTAGCATCGACGAGGACCTGGACCCCTTTGAGCATGTTCTGGTAAATGACCTGCTGGTACTCACGAATCAATTGATTTTCAAATCGTACCCCGTGGATGATTCGCATTTGCTTGAGAAAAGTGGATTTTCCGCTCTCACCCGCCCCTAATAGCAACACCTTCACTTGCCTTTTCATCGTCCTCTTGTCTTTTTCGATCATCTTATCGATACGGCGACTGTTGTAACGTTGCTCGAGTTCCTCGGGGTTGAATTTGAAACGCAAACAACAGGGGCAGGACCAACTGAACATGTTTTGTTAGGGATTAAAATTAAAAAATTAAATTGGAAAATTAAAATAAACATTTATTTACATTATGAATGAATGAACGAATGAATGTGAATGACTGGAATGGGCTGTCATCATCACATGACATAAAAATAAAAACACCACTAGCGCCCACTATGACCAAGCCACATAACTATCAAGAAGCATAAATTCGGCGATGTACCGTTTCTAGTAGGGGTTGGCACATTCCTTTGAATTATTGAGCAACTCGGTTACGACATGGAACAATGAATTCAGAGCTGCTTTCGGGTAGCACCCACTGTACCACCCTTTGAGCGCTTCCGAGTTACTCCGAAGAACTTTGGCTACAGTTTGACCCGTTCGGTTTCAAGCGTTCGAGTGCAAAAGGCATGGACTATGACAACTCATTGACAGATGTGAAGTGCTCTAGGAGCACCCGAAAGCGGCTCAGGATACCAGTAATTTTTTTAAATTTTAAATTCAGTATTCAGTAAACCACTCCGGACACTATTACTCGGGTTCGGCCAAAAGCATCTTAAACTAACAGGATTGCTTATCTTGGCGAACGTTCGCTAATTCTCGAGTCGACAGGTCCTGCGAGTGACGTCACCACTATTAGCAGTTGATAGTGGTGACGTCATCAGCAGGCTTCGATGGGATGCTTGCGTTTCAGGTTGTGCTTGGTTTTTCGTCGATTTTAAATGTAGAAAAGGTTACTTTAACAAAAGTTATAACGCGGAATTCGTTTTTCGACTTTTACTGTTTTCCATCAACTGTTCTTAGATTAGGGAGCGTTTAAAGCTGACGAACTGGAATTTTTAGGAAATCAGAAATGTCAATCAATCAACTTCATTTTCAATTTAAAAGAACTTTGGAAACATTGCCGTGGGTGTAGAAGATAAAAATTTCTTTCTTTTTGGTGGGTAATTGAGGTATTTTGGCGTGGTTGATTCTAATAAATGTCCAAGTGAAAATAATATGGTTGTATCCAGCTCTGCCTTCTTCTTTTCGAAAGTTCGTTTAGTTGTGGTTTGTATGGATAATGATGGAAGTTTCTAAAATTTAACTTCATTGCAATCACTGCAACTACCACATTCAACAGCACAACACTTTGTAGGTAAAATCTGTTTTTTATTTAAAGATAAAAGTCAAAGTCACATTATGTTGGCAATACAATGTAAAATTGTGAATGCTTTCAAATTTTTTATGCGTAAAAGGCAAGGGATTGCTCAATCCCATAAGACAAACGTTCATAAAAACATCGAAGATGGCGGTATGCGAATGACGTCACGCAGTCCTTGATCGGTTTGTGTTTTTTATGACAGTGCACTATCCTTGCATTTTCAAACGTGAAAAATTGTTATTTTGAGGTTATTTCCTTTGAAAACTGTATTTTGTAATTAATTTATTGGTTTTAAAATTAGCAGACTTCAAAAGCTTGTGTCCTTGAGGCTTGAGTGGTTGGCTAATTGCTAATTAGAAAGACGAGTTTGTTTGCTTTTGTTTATCAATTAGCCAAACATATTGCCAAAAAGTCAAAAAAACGAAGGGCTGGAGTCAAGCTGGCCCCCGGATTCGTTTCAATGTTTTTTGTGTGTATGAAAATGAGCACAATTCGCATAAATACTGGCACAATTGAGCACAAAACGGGCACAATTGACTACAGTTGAGAAACAGTAGAAGACCAAATGTGGGGTGCCGAGCCGGTTTAATTTTTGCATTTCAATATCAAAATATAAGCGAAACGGGGTTGCAATAGTGTGCTTTATTTTTTACTGACACTACAGGTACTTCTCAATTATTATTCATTAATTTAATAGGTACTAGAACGATTTAATATGGACATTCAAAGTGAGCTTATTTCACAAAGCCAAATAGTGATACCTAATTTAGATTCTCATAATCATATTCCAGAAACATTGCAAGTTTCCCATATTTTCCATGCGTTTTCATAGTAAACGCGCCAGTAAAGGAATTTATTTACATATTTATTTATTCACTCTTCACAAACCCTAATTTTTATTAGTAATTACATGCAAAGGAAACTTACAACTAAGTAGATATTTGATTTATAAAAAAAAAGCAAAACAAATGCTTGACTAGGAAATACCAATGAACTATAACCAAAAACTGGAATGCTAACACATAAGGACGAACTTGAAGCCTAGTGCGGCTGCTGCGGAGGGGATACCTGTTTTTGTCGCACTCATTATGTTAAATGGCGAAAATTGCTTCCAACACGTATTCCAATTGATGAAACCTGTGAAGGGAAATATGACAAAACTATCGAAAACGTCATATGTCAGCGAGCAACAGAAAAAAACAACATTCCCCCTTGTGGCATCTGTCTTTCATGGCTTCATTTTTTTGGCAGATATGGCAATGTGTGCGCATTCCAGTTTTTAGCTATAGTTCATTGGGAAATACTAACTAGCAATACACACAAATAAAAGAGCGATGTCCGGATACAACAAATCCAGTATTATAAAACCAGAAAATGCTTGGGGTTTTCGCGAGTATTTTCAGCCACGAGTCTTTTATTCTTACACACATTAAATGAAACTTTAAATTTACACTTATAACACTAGATAAATCCGAATTTACGATAAAATAGTTGTCAGCACAAACTAAACATCATTCGTATCAGCGGCCATCTTGAAAATCCGGCATGCGCGTGACGTCACAGCAATTGTGAACAAATTTAGCCGATTGAGCAATCCTGTAGAGTTTACGATTTTTGGGCTTAAAGGAGGTAGGTTAGTGACAAGGATAATACACACTACTGGGATTGCTTATCGGCCTCGTTTTTGGTAATCGCCGCCATATTGGCGTGACTCCATTTCCGCCGTCATTAATAAGTCGTCAGGAGTTTGCACTAGCGGTCGTAGTTCAGGATCCGGGTTGCCAGACGTCCCACCTTAGGAGGGACAGTCCCGCATTTTGTTAATCGGTCCCGCTTTTTTTAAATTAATTTCAGGTCCCGCTTTTCACGTGAATTATCCCGGTTTTCCCGCTTTTTCTACCCAATCTTCACATTTAGTGCAAAAAACGCTCATTTTACAACTTTTTACATAAATAGCTATTTTCATTTAAAATCGACGCAAAAGTCAAATAACGAGCCTGAATCGCAAGCATTTCATCGAGGTCTGCGGCTGACGTCACCACTATTATCTGCTGACGTGGTGACGTCACTCGCAGACCATGTGTTAAAAACCATATTATAACATGGTCATAGAAAAAGTATAATGTTTTACTCGTCAAAAATCATTTTTCGCAACTTGAAAACATTACCAAACTCGGCTTCGCCTCGTTTGATGCTGTTTTCGTCACTCGTTAAACTATATACTATTATTAGAAGAAATTACAAATATGTATCACTATTAGGTCTGTTTCTGCAGAAATCATCACAAACCAGTCAGAGCGGATTTCATTGGTTGAAAACAGTCAGAAACAGTCAGCAAACTAGTTTCAACCAATAAGATTCACTCTGACTCTGACTTGTTTGTGATTTCTGCAGAAACAGACTTATTAAAACTTGATTTCCATGATAAGAGTTTTTATATTTTTTCCCCGTCATCAGACATTCGCCTTAATATACAAATAACAAAAACCTATAATAATACCATATAATACTGATAAGATCTAACAAACTAAATTAGGGCGTGGTTCCAAAAAATTTGTTGCGCTTTTGCTCAAGGGGGTCCATAGGGGGGGGGCACATTAAGCACTTGCGCCTCCCCCCTTATGCTTATGGGCGTGGCTCTCTGGATAAGAACAGTCCCGCTTTTTCATTTCATAGATCTGGCAACCCTGTTCAGGATTTAAATTTAAGAAGAAAATTATTATTTAATTTTGATTACCATAATAGGCAAAAAGGAAGTTACAAACGAGATCTAAAAAATTGTTGTTCTAGAATGTTAATTAATGTAGTTAAACAAAGTATGCATAAAGCAAAAGCCCGTGGAATAAAAACCTGTAACCTGTGGTGCAAAAAGCCTACGTCAAGACGAAAAACGACATGCTGTCTACGTCAGAACTGATAATTTCGCGTGTGGGTGCTTCAGATTTGTTCCACACAGGCCTTATGACGATAGGCTATCTTTTAGTAGTAGTGTGTATTATCCTTGGGTTAGTGACAGTTGGCAATGTAACATAACGTCATATAACCGTGCGTTCGTTATTTTGGTCTGAGTTCTCCGAGCATGACTTTACCGTTCGTTTATTTAAAAAGTGTACTCGGTGCAGCCTCATTCGCGTTCGTTTATTAAAATTTCTGGCACTTTTATATAGCGCTCAACTGCTCTGTTCCCTCGCTGGTCACGTGATTACGGCTCCACTCAGCACGCTCTGCTCTTCGAGCAAAATACCGAACGCAAGGAATGTAAAACGTCACGTCCACTCCATTCACGTCAGTTACGTGAAGTTTTTTGTATCGGTAGGAGCTCGGAACGCAGTGGACAAGTGGAGTGGACAGTAGTTGCTTCCGTTAAAACAGACGGAGTATTCTTGTGGTCTGTGAGTGGAATTTTTTTTAGGAGGTTTTGTGTTTAGTATCCGGTGGTCGTGGACACTTCGTTAAAATGGCTAGCAGGATGGCTGGACAGACTATAAACGATAGATTATTGGCCGCTCGTCACAGTTTAGCCGGTCAAGGACTGGCCAAAGCCGTATGCAAAGCCACAACTGAAGAAATGATTGGGTCCAAAAAGAAACACCTAGATTGTGAGTATATTTTTGCAACAAATGTTTTTTTTTCTAGGTCCAAAAATCAAAATAAGGGTATTATTTGTTTCGTACGTTGTATGAGGTTGAAGAAAAGATAATAAAAAAAACGATAGGTAAGGTACCGGAGTACCTCACTTCCCAATTCAGAAACCGGTTTTAAATGTGACTAGTCTCTAGAAAAGTTTAGTTATTGGCTTATTTTTCTTGTCTTGTGGGTGGCCCAACACAGAAACCTCAATGTTTTTTTAGACTTCCCTTTCATTACTTTGCATAAGCTGTTGCCTTAACTAGATAACAATTTTTAAAATGAAATGCAACTTGCTTGAGAGTCTCGAGAGACTTACTAGTAATGGTTGGGCAATAAAAATACAATTACTTTTATTGCTGATATAATTTCTCACCTGTTGTTAATCAGGAATCTTCTTCTTTGTTTATTGTTAATTTTAGATTCCATTTGAGTACCAATTCTTCCTACTCATACCTATCGTAACCTACCATTATAAATGATTTGTTCTCGGATTTCTCCAAAAAATAGAAATACTTATTAACAAAGCGAATTACATAAATATATTGTACCCTATTAAATAGTAAGTGTTTACATTACATTAATAATAGCCATATTACATGAACTAAACAAAATCATTTACAAATCTTAAAATTAGCAAAGAATTACCAATTTTCTCAAATTGAAATGCGATAGATAAATTTTAAAAAATTCAAATCCAGACGCACAACATAATAGTAGTTTACCTAATAAGTGCGGAAAAGATACTTTACGCTTGGGTTAGGCACAACATTTTTCCTGCAAGCGTGCAGAAATTGACATGCATATTTTTTTTTTTTTTTGTTTTGTTTTTAGCTCTAAAGTCTGTTTTTTTTTTAAAGATAAAAGTCAAAATGACATTATGTTGGCAATACAATGTAAAATTGTCAATGCTTTCAATATTTTTTTGTAGAAACAATGTAGAAAAGGCTTGTGTTACCAACATAGTTACTAAAGGACCTCGCACACCTTATAGTTGGGGAGCTGGCGTCAAAAACATGCAAGAGTTTTCGCAAGGCGGATATTTTCAAAATAGGTCGTACTTTAGTGCTAGAACGCTAGTGTACAGTCAGCACTCACAGTTCCGGGACAGCTGGCTCTGGGACGCGGGCAAAGTTGTAATTTTAAGAAGCATCTAAACTGTTTTCTCAAAGCTCAAAATTTATAGAAATTTTGCACATTATCTGTTTGAAGGTCACAGATAACGTATGTAAATCGTCAGACGTCTAGTTCGTTGCAAAAAGGGGGTCAGACGTCCTCAAAGTTCTTATTTTATGGCATTTTCTTCAAATATATTTGTCAAATACCTGCAAAAATATATTTTGACAGGACACCGAAGAAAATGCCATAAAATAAAAACTTTGAGGACGTCTGACCCCCTTTTTGCAACGAACTAGACGTCTGACGATTTACATACGTTATCTGTGACCTTCAAACAGATAATGTGCAAAATTTCTATAAATTTTGAGCTTTGAGAAAATAGTTTAGATGCTTCTTAAAATTACAACTTTGCCCGCGTCCCAGAGCCAGTTGTCCCGGAACTGTGACTGCTGACTGTACACTAGCATTCTAGCACTAAAGTACAACCTATTTTGAAAATATCCGCCTTGCGAAAACTCTTGCATGTTTTTGGCGCCACCTCCTGGACTATTATATAGGATTCCAGCGATCGGTCGATTTTTCCCAAATTTTGATATGTTGTAGAGGATTTAATTCTTAACAACCTTTAAATGGAACGAAATCTTGTAGGTCTAACGGTCTTTGAGATATGAGCGTTGAAAGATGAACTTTTTTGCGACTTTTTGTGTGGAGAGTATACGAAATTCTAGTGTTTATCAGTCAAAATATTCGTTTATTGGTGTTAGATACACATAGTGTTTACACAGGTCATATTAATTTTGTTACAACACTACTTAAAATTACAATGTAAATTACTAAAAAACATTTTATAAAAGACATACATAATTTTCCTTTTTTAAAAGTGACATAGAGACACAAAATATAAAATACAAAATTCAAAAAATACACAATCACAAAACATCCCCCCTTAGAAATGTAAGTCTTATGAGAGACGTCAGTCTAGTCGTTTCAGCTTTCCCCTCCAATCACTAGAGGCGCTTCAATCAACCTATTAAAGTTTTCTTTTTCCTGCCGGACCGTGCGCCAAGATTTGAAGTTTATTTTGTCATTTCCAGTCGTCAAAATTTAAATTTTGAACTTCTCCCAACATTTAGAATTATCAATTACCTATCAATTATCAATAATTATTATCTCAAAATGTCTCCTCCCAGTTTGTTAATTGAAAAGCATCAGAAATGCTGTGTTCCGGGGTGCGGCGACAAATACAGCAGCTATTTCCGGTTTCCAAAAGATGCCGAAAAAATGAAACAATGGCTAGAAAAAGTTCGCAATCCTTTACTAAATAGCCTCAGTGTCGAGAAGGCTTATAATAATTATAGAGCGTGAACAAGACATTTTCCTCGAGAATTTATTGTTGGCGATCCAAAAGCCAGACGAGGACTCACATGGAATGCTGCGCTTTTGCTGTATCTCCCTGAAGGTAAGTTAATACTAGATATATGTGAGAAAGACGTACTTACATTTTCACTTATTCCTCCCCATAGTTCTGATTAACGACAACGTGTTAGAATTCGGGTTTAAAGGAGCATAGGTCAGAAACATTAAAATTAATTTTAATTTTAGCCCCAATTATCAAAAACAGTAAGGAGTCGTTAATTGATAAACCACAATCACCAAAATCGCAAAAAGTGGAGATCGACACAGTTGAAACTCGTCGAAGAGTCCTAAGACGCCTTCAGAAATTAGTTTCGCAACTATGATTGACATAGGTAGGTAAACATAATAACTCTGTTCCAACACGTCAAAAAATCGTCCCATGAACGGTTTCGAAACCACTCAGTATAACAATTTTAGTTTCTGCGCAGAATCGTGACGGTACATTGTACGGTTTTCTGCTGTGTTGGAACAAAGCTAATATTATTCATTTCTTTTTTTTAAATGTTTATTCCTTTATCAGGAGACACAATAATTAAAATATTCCTGGTTACATACAGGTACACCATATTCTACAATGCATGTATCCAAACTTTTTTGGTAGAATCGTTGGTAACGAAATTTCTGTTTTAGATCAACCAGGCCCTTCATGTCGTCAATTTTTATCTACTGAAACTTCTGCAATTCGGGCAGACATTGCTACACCAAGTGGAACCATCACATCTGCAAACATGAAAAAGTCACCAACCCACTTTGTCTCTTAAAACTTTTATTGGTAGGTACCTAAGTGTTATTGCTTAATGAATAACCACCCAGTTGGGAGTAGGTGAATTTTAAAACATCCTAACTCAAATAGGACTACTACTATAAAAGACTACTAATTACTAAAACTTGCAGTCGAATGCTAGAAAAATTAGAAGCTAAATGTGCGAAAAGCTCGTCTCCAATCTTGATCTATTTTTTTTTTGCAGGTCATGAGAGACGATGCCAAATTTTAAAGAACATTAACGTCACTAGGCAAAAAATTCCTATCCCCAAGGGAAAAATATCTTTATTCCAAAGTTATAGAATCCAGCAATAAGTTAAGAAGAATCAGTAGAAGGTTGTCGTCATTTAAATCCAAAGTTTCTACTGCTGAATAACTTGCATCATAAACCAAATTTCAAAGGCTCGTAGACCACGTCAATCCATTGATATACAGCTTTATTTTAAGCCAAGTCCGTACTCAAAACCAAAAGCCTAAAGCTAGACGATTTACATTGGACGAGAAGTTGTTGGCGTTGTCTTTGCTTAAAGCTAGTGGTAAAGGGTATAGACTATTATCAAAAATATTTATTCTATCATCCAGGCGAAATCATTTTCTTGAATGAGCTTTATATTATGTATAACTACATAAACTTTCTACCTAACACATGCGGAAAGTGTATTTTCTGGACTTAAAGGCTTGTTTGAACTCTGCTTTTTGTTGTCATTCGTGCAACTTCCATCACGTGCAGAAACACTTTCCTCACTTGTTAGGTTAACAACGATTTTGGATTGTGAGAAAAGGACCTCTTTTGTCATTTTATTTACGATTTAAGTTTTTCATCAAGCTATTGTTAAATGTACGTCATTACTTCTTGTAACTGTCCTTATTATCTTTAACTTAACTAGCATTACCTACCTATGTATGTATACTTACATGAAAAAAAACTGTTTCGCAATAATTGTAATTAATTCCATATTCTTTAATATTTTCTGTTTCAAACTTTAATAAATATCTAAATTTGTCATCTTAATTTTTAGTCAATTTTACCTTGAAGGCGCTTCAACACTACCGATTTTATGAGTTTCTTCTTTTTGGCACAATTATTTTATGCCAAAAAATGGTAGAAACTTTAAAGTGGTGGTGTTGAATCGCTAGAATCAAACAATGGTGCAAACGATCCACCGGAACAAATAAGATACCGAACGAACCCTAATTGCGTTTTGCATTCGCCAATAAATCCAGAATTACAAAAGCTTACCCCCCCAGTCACTAGAGGCGCTGAAAACTTATAGACAGGTTCTCAACACGGCACTTACCTTTCTAAGGGGGGATGTTTTGTGTACACAATGTAGAACATACAAATAAACTTGGGTATAAAAAAAAACTTCACTTCAATCTTATTATTTGACCAAATGAGTGTGGAGTTGTAGAATTCTTCGAGTGAATAAAAAGCCTTTCTTATCAGATATTCTTTTACCTTTTTTTTGAAAAGAGATCTATTGAGGTTAATGGTCTGTTCTGGAAGCCTATTAAACAATTTTGCGGCATGGTATCCAGGTCCATTCTGGCACCTGTGAAGTCTACAGAAATTTGGTCTTAAGTTATTCCTAGTTCTAGTGTTATGACTGTGGATATCACTGTTACAATTGTATTGGAGAAAAAAGTTGTCCTTCACATAAAGCAAATTCTGCA